TCTCTCTCTCTCTCCCCACATTTTCACTCTCTCTTTCTTTCTTTTTCTTGAATTTGTCTGCATGACTCATTTTTTTCTTACTCATTTGAAATAAACTATTCATATTATGCATTATACATCGATGTTTCATAATTGTTTACAATTGAAAATAATGGAAATAATTCTTTTTCAATAAGAAAGAGAAAATTCTCATCTTTATTTAAAAAGAAATTATAAAATGTCTATTCTCGATCTTTTTATTGTAAGTAAATTTATCAACATTGACTATTTATGCAAAGAAATTGATGTCATTTAATATCATAAGGGCGATAACTTCACGCAAAAGTATGTAGAAGCAGTCTTCCAAAAAATTCTTCATATGACAAAATATGTAATTCGGGATTGACATTCACTATCTTTATCCCTTGTTTTCAATCAGTTTACTTGAATTCTATATTTTATATATTTTTTCTGCTTAGATATTGTGAGGTTGCGTTGATACTAGCCAAAATGCACAAGTAGTTTGCATCTTGACTCCCTCGTTGTTCTACGCTGATACCGGTACTATATATTTATGTTTTGAATATAAGTGTTTGCTTGGTATCTTATTCAAATATGTACTGTTTGTAATATTACAAGTAATCTTTATTTGTTACAAGGTTCTACTCTACTAACCATAGGTTTTAACTTAACGTTCTTGATAGGTAAACCGTTATAGGCCATCAGCGAATGAGTAAATGCATGCTCACCTGTAATTACGGGTCCTTGCCATGCATGCCTATGGGAAAATTCAAATAATTCAATTAACGAGACCGAGACTAATTATTTCTACCCTAGGGATTTCGATTATTTTTTGTTAAATAATTTTTACTGTTATATTTATTGTTTGAAGATTAAAAAATCGAATGCTTAACACCTCGGTTTCTCTGGGGGTCATCTCAGAAGTTGTCAAATTTAACTATTGGACCATATGGGAATTTCTTGGAAAAGCGCCAAATTTAATTATCACATTTTTTCCATATTTTTTGTATTTCTGCCCTAGAGATTTCTTTTTCAGTCAGATAGATGAAAGTTATTGTAAAAAGTCACCAAATTGCGAAATTTCAAAAAAGTTTACCATTTAGTTTGATCTAGGTCTTTTAAGTACAATAATAATTTTTTCGATGCCCAATACATGTACCTCTAAAATTGCCATATTGTGGTATAAATACATATCGGTGCAGATGAATTATCGGCGCAGATTAAATGTTTTGGTAAAAATTCGCAAGATTTAGATTGCTGCTATGCTTCTTCTGATGTTCTGTCATCAGTTTTTGTTATAATATCCATGGACGTCTACGAAAATTAGCTGCAGATCTGTAGCGTTATGGTTTTATATATTTGTCTTTGACCATAACGCTACAGATCCCGTAGTGCAAAAAAGGTGCAATTTACGGCGCAATATTTTTTGCGCTCTTTTGGGGAGAATTTCTCCACTTTCCAGCATCGTTCAATCAACTACCTTTCACTCCCTAATTCTAGACACATTATTTAACTAATCTGTATATTTTATCCATCTCCCAACCTTTTATAGTCGTCTCTACAAGTGATAAACTCGCTTGATTAAAATTATTTGTTAGATTACTGAAAATTCACTTCCAGCGAGTTTATTGCTGATAGAAACAACTATAAATGTTGGGAGGTGGATAAACTATACTTATTGGCTACAGAATGTGTCTAGAATTAGGGAGTGAAAGGTAGTTGATAGACCAATGCTAGAAAGTGGAGAAATTCTCCCCAAAAGAGCGCAAATAATATTGCGCCGTAAATTGCACCTTTTTTGTACTGCGGGATCTGTAACGTTATGGTCAAAGACAAATATATAAAACCATAACGCTACAGATCTGCAGCTATACGAACATATGAGCGAGTCATATGCCATTCTTCAGCGTCATGCATTGCTTGCAAAATCGGAAAACAGTGACGTCATCAGAGCCTTTTCAGCGTTTCTTTTCCCCCAAGTTTTTGTCGTAAAATTACATTTTCAGACCGTAGGTATTTCAGATAATGTTAATTTTATATTAAAAACACAATATATGGGAAAGGTGTACTGTCGCACTTATGACTGTGTGACTGTGTGAAAAGTCATGCGCACTCGAATAAGACTCGGCCTTGTGGAACCATTCAATAAAAAGGAGTTCGAAATTCCTTGTAAAAAACAAGACCACAGGAACCGGAGAAGAGCAGGGCGAGGGCTCTCCAATAATTTTCCCGATGTATAGAATACTATTTTAAAAGAAAAAAACGTTTGATGATCATTTTTTTCTTGCTTGACTTTATTTATGTGACAGTAGTAAAAATAATGAGAACCGTACTGCAGTGCGTAACTCAGAGAAAACAAATCCTATTTACAATAAATTATCAACACTGTTCTCAATGTGTATTCCTTTTACAGGACAATTATTTTGTAGAAGATTTGGAAAATAAGTAAGTAAGTAAATATTTTATTATAGTGACATGTGTATATAGTTATTTTTAACATTCATTATACAAATAAACATAATTTAATATGTTCAACACCCGGCCCATCGGACCTATAAGTCACTTTTATCAATTCATATACATTACAATTTACATGCGTGTGATTTTTCTTTGTCTTATATTATAGGCTTTATAAATTTGCAGATTAGCGAGGGAAATGAGTTAACAAGTTAACAGATATTTAAAGAGAACATTTAAATCATTATCATGTAAATTTGAAAGAGGCTAACTTTTTTTCAGTGTCAACTACTTTCAGTACCATATCTAATACTTCATTTTCGGTACATCACTAAAACTGGGGGGGCCAACCAGGTTTTCAATTAACATTTGCTATAGTATAGGTAAGGTTGGTAAAAAAAGTGGGGGGGGGGGGCAGGCCCCCCCTGCCCCCCCCCCCCCCCCTGTTGCTACGCCCCTGATCCACTGAATAAAAGTGATAGGAATGATATCCTGTCGCAGAGTGAATATTTTTGTATATTTATTTTAGACAGCAAGTATCAATCTCCCATGCAGAGTTGTCGTTCGTTCCTCTCTCAGACACGTGAATGTATGAGCCGATGGTAGAGAGTGAACAAGTATATATCTCCATTTATTTAAACCCTATAAATATGCATGGAGGAAATACATTTAGAGTGATCGTTCCTACGTTTAATCACGTGACGTCACCAAGAAAGACTACTGTGACGTCGCTAAGGAATAATCCTTTGACGTCACAAACAATAAATTGGCAGCCTTATCAGCTGATAAAAGTGGTGAGTATTTCTATTGCATGGAATTCTTTTAAAATCTCATTGTTATCTTTAAATATATTACAATCATGTATAATAAATGTTATTATTTCAGACAATGTAATCTACGAAAATCTGCGATAATTTACAAAGGGACTTCAAATGAAATTAAGAAAATATGAAGGGAGTACACATGGTACATGGGAAATATAATAGTTCTGTTCCACGGTTGTTTAGAATAGTAGTGTCATATACTAAAAAAGTGTGGGAGGGAGTAAGCAAATCTTCAAAACCATTTATTCAGATATGCACCAGTATATACTGTATCAACACCCCCTTCCTTTTAAAAAAAAATTTCAGGATAATACACGAAGTTAAATTCTCCTAGACCCCCCTTTCCCCAATCTTTCAGTTGTGTTGTTTTATGATATCGGATGAAAGCAGTCGTTCTTTATCTATTTTGTTTGACTTAATTAATAATAAACAAAATCTCAGAATTCCCTCTACGTTCTGTAAATACTTTATACACCCCCACCCCAACCACCACCCTAGTAATTTCTTTAAGTTATGAGATACGCACACAGGTTTGAAAACCCGCTGAATTTTTTTTATCAATTTCTTTTGTAGGATATATAATGGATCTCGGCCTGGGCATGATTGAGGTAACATTTAACATGTATTTAGAAGTGATTCAAGTCAAAGTTTTTAATTTGATTTAATAGGCACTCATACTTAGCAACATACGGGTTTCACCGTTTGTGCAAAGGCATAATATACATGTAAGATGATTTCGTGTTTTGTTTTGTTTTTTTTTTTTCCAGTTAATCGGGTGTTTTTTTTCCCAGAAATCTAGAAATTAGTGAGGGAAAGGGGGGGGGGGGTTTCGAATATTAATACATGTATTCTGAATATTGGATAAAGAAGTTTGTGGATAATTTTTGGGGGTTCGCTGTTCACGTTTATGAAGTATTACATGAACATTATACAATATTATATTATATGTATTACTCAATAAAAATGACAAAATGCGAAAGGAAATGTTTAACCTGCCCCCTTTGATATCAAAATTGAAGTAAAGTGTCTATTCGTAAACAAATGAGAGAGAACTTTAACATGCTGCTTCTGTTAAAGAGGCTGGGTGGTCATGGCCACTTTAAGACTATTTTTATCTCCATTACAAGAAGAGCTCCATGTAAAGATATAATAAAATGATCAAATTTTAAAGGTAAAATTTTTAAAATCTTTTCTTTTCCAAATGAAAGTTGGTCAACAGCTTAAGATTTCATATCCCAAAATTTTAGTTATATCTGGGGGTTAATAAAAAAATAATTAGTTGACCTCCTTAAAGATTACTTTTTACAGATATGCGTTCACATTGGAATAATTACGGATCAAAATGTTTTTAAAATACTAAAATGCACAGCAGTTTTCGGAATTCAAATGAAATCAATTTAAGTTATTTTTTCCAATCACAAATGCATGCAACTACATTATACAAAATGTATCCCAGGGCCTCATTTATAAGAGAACCAAATAAGACAAATAATAATTTTCTCTTTTAGACGGACGGACAGACTCAGAGTAAATTTTGGTTCCCTTCCACTTTCACCAGTAGGGGACTAAAATATGTGACTGGCCAAAAAAATCATAAGCCCTAGCCAAGAAATTTGTTTATTCAGCTGAAATCAATTTGACATTTTTACATATAAGCAAATGTGCTTCTTTTAAACAATATATTCCTGTAATATAATTAGTAATTTATTTTACAGGAAGAAGACGATGAAGTGGAGCAAGAGCCAGTAGTCACCCACATACTACCAAGAAGGGAGCTGGTAGGCTTCTATTTATATATATCGGCAGTTTTGGCATTCAAAGTTCCTATGTTCTATAAACATGATCTATTCCATACCATTTTAGCTCAACTAATCTGAAAGCTCAAGTGAGCTTTTCTGATCAAATTTTGTCTGTCCATCTGTAAACATAACTAAATGTGTGTACAGACTACACATGTACTTCTTAAAGACTAATTTAAACCAAATTTGTTACGAAGCATCCTGGGTGGAAAGGACATTCAATTTTGTTTCAATTCAAGTTAGATCTAGTCTTGCCCCCCTCTCCATTATAAAGTTATAATTAATCATATGTAGATGAACTGAAAGCAATTTCTCGGGTGGTTTAGATTCAATGTGTTCAAATATGACACTTTGAGCTAGAAAAGGCGTTTTACATATGAATGTATATCAGAAAGAAATTGGCTGATGAAACAAGGCATATTGACAAGAACAAATGAGTGACTCAGATGAGCATCGTGGTCAGTGGATCTCTTGTTAAACATGTATAATCAGCTGTAATCTGCCAACCCTACATTATACACCATACGCAAAATTTTTGTATTTTTATGCCCCCGTAAACGAAGTATATAGGTTTAGTCGTGTCCGTCCGTCTGTCTAGCTGTCTGCCTGTCTCTCTGTCTGTCTTTCTGTTTGTCTGCAAAAACTTTAACCTTGCTCATATCTGTTGATTTAGTGGAGTTATGACTTTCATATTTCACATGTGTATTCCTTGTGACAAGACCTTTCTTTTGGTAACACCAAATTTGTCCTTTTGACCTTGACTTGGAGTTTGACCCACTTTTACACAAAAATTCCAAACTTTTACTTTTGACCAGTAGATATCTGGAAATTTATACTTCACGTATGTATTTTTTTGTGGAAAGACCTTTCATTGAATACCACCAACCTTGACTTTTTGACCTTGACCTTGGAGATTTCCGTACTTATGAAAAATCTTTAACCTTGGGCATAACTTTTGAACGGTAAAAGAAAGGCGCTATTATACTTCACATATGTAATACTTGTGAAAAGACCCTTCAATGGATACCCAGAACTTTGACACTTTGATCTTGACCTTGGAGTTTGACCTACTTTAAAAAAGCAAAGCTTATCAAGAACTTTTAAAGAGTTAGGGCTAGTGCTTTCATACTTTACATATTTAATGCTTGTGACAAGACCTTTTATTGGATAGCAAGACCTTTGACGCTATGACCTTGACGTTTGACCTATTAGATACCAATTACCTTGACCTTGGAGATTTTCGTACTTAGGAAAAAACTTTAACCTTGGCCATAACTTTTGAACGCTAAGGGCTAATGATCTCTTACTATACCTATGTAATCCTTGTGAAAAGACCCTTCATTGGATACCAAGATTTCCAAACTGATGAAAATTTTTTACCCTGGTCTGATTTCATATTTCAGAGCTGTATTTCCAGTGAGTTTGCATTCAAGAAAAGTTTAATCTTTTAATAATTTGTTGCCATACAGGGGCATCAGTGTTTCACAAACACGTCTTTTTTTCCTCAGGTATATCTTGCATTTATACTGCATTTATACTGCATTAAGAAGAAAACTATTTGGTGTCCCTGTATGGGAGATTCGGGCGTATATAGTTTGTGCCTTGTCCGTCCGTCCGTCTGTCTGTCTGTTTGTCCATTTTTTCCGCACAAACTTATACCTCGCCATAAGCTTAAAGTAGGTGGAGCTATGGCTTTGATATTTCACAAGTGTATTCCTTGTGACAAAATTTATCTCCGGGTACCACTAATCTAGACCTTTGACATATGTATTCACTATGACAGGGTCTTTCTTAGGGTAAAAAGGTATTTGACCTGATGACCTTGACCTATGAGTTTAACCAACTTAAAAAAAAAACACTTTTACCTTGACAAAAACTTTTTAAACGGTTAGGACTTGGAATTTCATATTTCACAGGTGGTTCCTTTATTAGGAAAAGACCTTCATTGGATACCAACAATTTTGACCTTTTAATTTTGACCTTGAAGTTTGACTTGCATTGGAAAAAATTAAAAATCTCGCCAGAAACGACCATACGGCGACATCAGTGTTTCACAAACACATCTTGTTTGTTTAATTATTTTTTTTGTTTCTTTGATTTCTCTCTCCTTTCAGACCTCTACTTCTACTATGATTCGAATGCTCATAGCTAGAGAGCAGCTGGAGAGCAGCTATGAGAGGATTAGACCAGTAAGTTCTTTTCTGTACAACCAGTAAAAAATCAATCTAATTAAAATTAGATCTTTGATCCGCTCCAGTTTGATCGCTACACAAAGTGTAGCGATCAAACTGGAGCGGATCAAAGATCTTATTTTTTTTGATTGGTAAAAAATGCACCCACTACCATTGCTAAAGTTTGGAAATAGAAATTTTAGTTTACAATGTGGTCTAGATAACACTTATTGAAAAAAAGAAGTATATAAGTATATATCAATTGCGAAAGAGTAATTTCAGAATGACAGTAAGGTATCTTTCGGCATGGAACTGTGTGACTTGAAAATTTATTGATTAAAGATATTGTTTTTATTTTTACACTAGTCGTCAACTGCCGGGATTATGCCCACGATTTCCGAAGATTTAGAGGTAATCACGCTTGCGCACTAAACCAATTTACCATTATCAATAAAATTATGTATTTTCTATGTGTGTACCGAGGAAAAAAATTGCAGCTCTGTACAGGCGCTGGCGTCTCAATATGAGTGAAAATTTCTCGAGAGGGACGTTAAACAATATACAATCAATCAATCTGATATGATTAGTAGCTCTTAATATATCCATATTCTACTGAACTTATAAATTAAGGTTGTTTTATCTTTAAGACCTCGCCAATTCCATCTAGAACTGGGATTTCTAGAGATAGCATTGAAGAGGAGGTAATATATTCTTAATGTTTTCACTATTAAAAAGTGTTTATACGCAATATTGTTGCGTCTTTTATGAGATGTTTGTATAAACCATTTTCAAAGCTCAATTTAATGAATTCATATTCAGGATCATTTCAAGACATTCAGTTTATGATATATTTCACATTTAGGCTAGGAGACTGTCACTAACAGCCATTCACAGCGCCTTCTCAGCGGCGGTATCGGTATCTGAGGGGGGATGCAGGGCAAGTTATAAGGTTAGAAAACAAATTTGTAAAAAATATTTCATAAATTTTGTGGTCAAGACCTGTTTTTTTTTTAAAGAACAGATTCTAAAATATTTTTTTACTCCCTTCTCAATATGAAAGGTTGGAAAAAAGGATGGAGTTGAAATTTTACTCAATCAGTTTAACGAGGCCCGATCTAGTTGAAAATTACGAAAACGGAATTGAAATAAAACAGGATAAAATTAATGAATCTGTACCAAAAATTGATCCCTCAAAATTAATTAGGTTCCAAAGTTGTTTATTAATTTAAGTATTAAAAAAATAATAGAAATGCCAGCTTTCAATGCATAGTCTATAGAGCTACCAGGTAAGCAAGATCAACGAAACATTTTAGCGCAATTTGACGTCATTTTAATTGTGACGTTATTGTGTTTAATTGTGACGACAGTCAAGGGTATTGTGACGTGCCAGAGTCGAAGCTGCGTTAAAACGTATGCGCAGATCAAGTAGATCGGGCCTCGTTAATTACATTGATAATTAGTAATATCTTGAAATGATTACTCCTTTAGTAATAATATGAGCTTTAAAAAATCTTGTTTCAGGGGAAGCGTAACATCTGGAGAGGCCTCATGTCCTGCTTCCGTTCCTGTTTTAGTTGTGTGCGCTAGAGATTAATTCATAGTAACACGATTTTTTCTCAAGAACAACTTGGCCTTTGTGGTTATCATTTTTTCTCAAAAACAACTTGGCCTTTGTGGTTGTTTTTTTTTCTCAAGAACAAATTGGCCTTTGTGGGTTTATTTTCTCAAGAACAACTTGGCCTTTGGGGTTGTTTTTTTTCTTCTCAAGAACAACTTGGCCTTTGGGGTTGTTTTTTTTTCTTCTCAAGAACAACTTGGCCTTTGGGGTTGTTTTTTTTATTCTCAAGAACAACTTCGCCTTTGGGGTTGTTTTTTTATTCTCAAGAACAACTTCGCCTTTGGGTAGTTTTTCTTTTTTCCAGAAAACAATTAATTTGATGAATTAAAAAGAGATACCGATGGAGATTAATCAAAATGTACAGTAATTTTTTTTCTTAAGAACAACTTGGCCTTTGTGGTTATTATTTTTTCTCAAGAACAAATTGGCCTTTGGGGTTGTATTTTTTTTCTCAAGAAAACAATTTGATATATTAAAAAGAGATACCGAATGGAAGTTAGTTAAAATTTACAGTATTTTTTTTTTCTCAAGAACAACTTGGCCTTTGGGGTGAATTTTTTTTCTTAAGAAAACAATTTGATGAAGAGAGAGGAAGCACTTATCCAGAAAGAGATTGAAGTGGCCTACAAGGAGATGGAGAGACTCTAAAAATGTCAACGTCGATATCACTGCCGAATAAATTGGACTCTTGATATCATTGACTATTATTTAATTCATACAATCATTTTAAAGCCTTTAATTTTGTATATTGGAGCCAAAGAGGGGACACCCGAGCTCTTTATTTATCTTTTGGCGTCTAATGTAAAACATTTCCTTTTTGGACTCTTTAAACAAAATTCTTTTGCAATGTGTGGCCTTGGAGACAGATCTAAGGCTAGCATTGCGAAACAAAATTTACTTATTCCAAAATGTTCAATTTTTCGGAACTTTGGCCCTATAAATACTCATTCCGTCAGAAATCAGGAATGGGTATTACGTTGGAACACCCATCCCGTCAGTGATCAGGGATGGGGGTTCCTCGTCAAAAAATTCGAAATTGTAAATGAAACATCCGTTTAGAGATGCCCTAAAGCTCCGTTGTCCTCTCTTTTCAAAATTCTGTTATTCAAATTATTAATAAACATATCATTTTAGAGCATGTTACCATTTTTTCTCTTATTTTTTCTTATGTGAAAAGGGTTCGGCCTTCTTTGTATTTGGTGCCAGATAACATCATTAAATGTTATTAATAAATATCGAACTGCGTTATACATGAGGTGAAGGTGCAGTGTTACATAAAAATGCACTCGAGTCTTCAAAAACTCATCCGGAACACCTCGGGTCTTTCACAGAAAAAAACATCCGGAACACCTAGGGCAATTCACAGAAAAACAGTTTTTCTGTGAAAGGCCCGAGGTGTTCCGGATGTTCAAAAACTTGCATATCCTGTATTGCTTGTCATTCTTGTCACATTCGCGCTGTTTATTTTTGACTATTATTCACTAGCTGATTTAAATCCCTTCCCTCCCTCCCCCAGGGTCAAAAATATGCCAAATATTTAATAAATCGTCTTTTTGTCGTTTGGATGTGGGTCCCTACTTCTACCACAACCCCTTCTTATCCAAGATTCCAACTGGATCCACCAATGTTATTGCTCATCATTATTTTTTCATTCAAAGTATAAAAATTAACTTGGCTTTGCAAGAAGTAAGTCGTCACAAGGTACAGCAGGATAATCCCTAATTCCTTGGGGTGGATAACTTCTTTCAGACAGGGGGTGTGGGGTCTCCAGTGGGTCCATGGCAAAGCCCTGTTTGGAGCATAGGGGGCGAAGCCCTCAGAAGCTCCTGGGTTTTAGAGTAAAACCAGGCACAACGAGTGGTATTGGGTATATATGCACACGACAATAATTCACTTTTTATGCGATACTTCAGTTACAGTTAAGGTGCGCAATGGAAATATCAACTATATTTTGTGTATAAAATGTATTCATAATCGGGATGGCGATTATTTTTTGTACATTATTTATATCGGATAATTGTAATTATGATGAATAACTACATACCGAGGACGATTATATTTAGACTAGTCAAGTGATGCGACCGTCACATGATTTTAGCACATTTACTTGCAGTATTGATGTTACATATAAATATCACTAGAGCAAGGGCATATTAACTAAGGTAAATTTCCAAGTTTAGTTTATAAATATTTTCAACACGCATTGTAGTTTCTAAAAAGTGCTGCGATCCTATCTAAATTCTGCATTTTCATTGTTAAAATTGTATTTGTATGAATGAATGCTATATTTTTTGCTGGTCAGCGGCATGAAATACATATGTATTGATATAATTAAATTGTTTTTTTAAGATTTCATCAGGATCGCAGCACTTTTCAGATACCTTAATAGTTCTAGAGTTGAATTTTAAAAGCTTACTATGATCCAAAGAGTGTATGCCCTTGCACTAGATCGATTTATTAAGACCTCCACACTACCCTCCGATGTGCTTGCATACAAATTAACAGCAGTGTCAATTAAATACGTATTGTACAGAAAATATATTAATAAAATAGTGAAGAAGATATTAAATTCAAGTTATTGGCCCATAGAATATCTGTAAATAATATTTTATTTAATTAGAGAATACATATTCTGTTGAGAAAATATTACTTGATTTGTCTCTCACTACACACAAACTACGTCACGTTTTAAGAAATGACGTCATATTGACAAGTGTATTGCGATCACTGACTTGTTTATATTTAAGTATTGAATTCATATTTTTGGCTGTCTTCGGTCCTATAACACACCTGGCCGTGCCGACAAATTGAATTACGCGCGTTAGCGCGGTATGATAAATTTGTCGGCACGGCCAGGTGTGTTATAGGACCGAAGACAGCCAAAAATATGAATTCAATGCTTATATTTACATTCTCTAATTTTCTTTCTTCATAATTGCTTATTTCGTTATCCTTTAATGCGAATTTAGCGCCCTTCAAAACTGACGTGTTTAATAGACGTAAGAACCGCTTGTGACGTCAGATGACGTTGCAAAGTTGAAAAACACAAACAAATATTGCGAGGAAAAAAAGTGACAAATTAATTTTAAACGCAAATTTGTAGTATTTTTACGTTAATTTAACAGGTTTATAGTTTTTAATTAAATTGAGTCAAAACATTGTACATTTTGTTGTTCCTAGATTATAGAAAATGCATGTAGTTCCTAGGCTACTGTGTATTCTAACGCGCGGTGACAAGGTTTCGCGTTTGTTATAGAAATTTGAATGTCGTGGATTTCTAATGAATTTCATAAGGAAAAATATACGGAATGTAAATATAACTTGTTGTGCAGGATTTAAATAACGACCAAACAGCACGCTGTAGTAAGTTTTTATGTAGTTTGATGATTTTTTTACTGGTTAAATAAGAAAATCAACTCATTTCATGGTATTTTAAAGATATGTTGTATAACGTATATTTTTGTATGATGTCATAGTCAAGTTTTCCCGTACAAATTAGACTCCGCCTCCTTTTTGTAACCTTAACTGTGCTGCGTAGCCTTGGGAATGCAAAACATTTTAAACTTGATTTTAAAGAAAAATGATACCTTGTCATTTAATAAAATTACCTATTGATTTGACCGTACATTGGCGTCGGAAGCAAATGGAAAGTGTAAAAATTTATGTTAGACCTTCAAAAACTTCTTTATTTAATTAAAGGAAAATAACGGTTTATTTCAAATCACAAATAAGTTTTCATTGAAGAAAAAGACAACCGACCTATACCCTCAACTCCCGACCTTAACATTAAGATACCCCTAACACCATATCTATGATCACTAGTTCTTTATGTTTTTCTGATCTACTGTGAATTCTGTACCTCCGTACGTGACATAGGTATACATGTAGATGTCAAAGTAAACCGTCAATTGTAAAAGTCAGTCAACTTGGTATTACTAGCCAACGTTAAAGTTGGTACAGGGCGTTTGGAAGAAGCACTGACTTTTACAATTGACGGTAGTACATAGTACATGTAAATGATATTTGAGAGAAGAAAATAATTCGTGGCATGTTTTCTTCACATTTTGTGAAAAAATCAGAGATATCCTATATATTGGTCACTGGGAGTTTACATTTTTGAATGGCTTTATGCTGTCTACAAGCAAAATACGCGTAACAGTCTGTTCTTAAATGCAGTGTAGCTTGGGTCTAATCAATGACCGAAAATTACGAAAATTGGTCAGATGAGAAACTTAGTTACTATGACGTGTACGACGTCACGTTGGGAAAACGCTAAATAGCCCAAAACACGTCCAATCTGATGATGACGAGTTTTTCAACAAATCTTGTTGCACTATTTGATGCACCTAAGGTATACACATCATTTTTGGGAGTTGAACTATGTTCAGACTCCCTAGGCTGTCACGCGGTTTCTAGCGCAGTAATTTTACAATGAATTATATAGCGGTCGTCGTGGTGTTTCTGTGTCGCCCAATTTACTCCCCTGTGATATTCAATACAAACTCGTACCAGTCTATATAAACTCGAAGAAACTTCCGCAATAAAAATAGTCCATCTCATTTTTCTGACTTATTCTAATTTTCATAAATGATTTGAAAGTAAATGAAATAGAATTTTATTAAACTTAATTTGAATACCATGTTTTTGTCATCTTTCATGAGAAATGACACATAAATTTTGATTTCCGTATGAAAAAATAGTCCCAGTTTTCCGACATTTACCATTCGGCAATCCTCGGCTGACTCCACTACGCTTCATTACAAAAAGTGCTAGGTCATCCAAGGAGCAACAACTGGTCTAACTGGTTTGACAATGACGCGATTGTCTAAATATAGAGACGTAAACAAAGATGTAAGGAAAGGAACGCTAAGGTTTAACCAAACTTCTTTCAATTTGTTTCAGCAATAAAGAGACAGAACAACGTTTCTTTTTTAAAAAAACACTGCGGAAAATATTTATTTGCTCTGACAAGTAAAATGATCTGTTAGACTGGAAAATTTTTGTCAGACCAGATACATGCAACTCATTTTGTTACGTTGGTAAAGGGAAAAAATAATAGCATTAAAGTTTGTT